ACAATAATATTTGTGAACTTATTTCACTTTTGGATTATGGTCTCTCCATTTTTCATTCTAAACCATTCATAGTCAAGAAAGAGCAAGCTTATTTTAAACTCTTTGACTTGAGTTATATCTTCATGTAAGTTTTCTAAGGTGTCCCACACTTTTGTAGCATTGTCACACATAAACACTCTATGGAAATCTTTAGGTCCTAAGGCACAATAGAAGGTATGGATAGCTTGGGCATTAAGTTGCATGAGCTATTTATCTTTGTCATCCCATTCCCTTGTAGGCTAACAACTAATTTATCTTCTACGGTTCTGGTAGGCATATGGGGACTTCTTTAAAATAACTATCCAAACATCTATATCATTAGCTTGGATGAACATTTCCATTCTTCTCCTCTAATATGGATAATTTTCACCATTAAATAAAAGGGATTTGACCATATATTGTCCTTCTTCAAAGGGAAAAGTTGTAGGTTGCACAGCCATGCCTTTTGAGCTTCAAAGGATCTTTACTCCAAGCGTTTAAACCTGTAAATTTTTTTATGCCGAAAATTCAAAATTCCAATAATTTATAGAGTGTTTTTTAATTAAGGTTTAAACATGCAAATTTGAGACCAAAGCTTTAATACCAATTGTTAGAATGCTAGCTTAAAAGCATAATCTCAAGAAAAGGTAAAATAAGAATTTCAAAAATTCTTTTGAGACCTTTGAAGAATAGAGAATAAAAACTTCTTTTAAAAACAATGGATTGAAGTTGCAGAGATCCTTTCTCAATATTTCAAAGAGTGATTTGAAGAGCTTTAAACAATATAGAAAAGTTTAAGGAAGTAAGTGAAAAACACAAAAATTATTATAGAGGTTCGGTCTCGTTGCCTACATACTCTCCCTTAGCTTACCAAGGATTTTAGAATCCACTATGAGAAATAATTTTTCAAGGTTCAAGCATAGCCTTTGCAAACCAATTTTTTCAAGGCTCAGACTTAACCTTAACAACAGTTTTTTTAAGACAGAAACTTAGCCCCTTTACTTTTTCACTTGGTTAAGGTATAACCATAGACAATCAACATTACTTTTGAGGTTAAAGTATAATCTTTACATTGGAGTACAAGGAACATGATGAACAAGCTAAAATGTCTTTAAAAGATTGAATTAAAAAGGTGATTACAAGAAAAAAGTGAAGGCTTATCAAAGAAGTATAAGAACTTAATGCTCAAAAACACTTGATTTTGAGAGTCCTTCTTGAGGGATTTGGTGTTCAATTTTTCACTTTAGCTTGGAAGATTTGCTCGAGGTGTTCTCTACCTAGAAAGTCATGCCTCAGACCTCTATTTATATGTTGGTGTAAAAAAATAGGCATTTAGGGATTTGTGCTTCAAAAAGTAACTATTATACATGTCTTTCTCTAGCTTGTTTGATGCGAGATATCGACACATTTGTTAGATAAATAAGCTAACAAAATTTCCTATTTTTCATTTTTAACACAACCGAATTATAAGTAGCAAAGTTTTAAAAACAAGGATAAGCTAAACAAGTAAAGTGCAGCAAAAGTAAAGACTACTCAACCAAGTTTTTATAGAGGTTCAGTCTTTGATGCCTACATCTTCTCCCTTGATAGCACAAAAAGTTCAAATCCACTATCAACTTGACTTTTAACACTAGATCAAGCGTAACCTTTACAACAAAATGCCTTTTAAAGGATCAAGCACAACCTCAACCAAAGACACTACTTTTTAGGATCAAGTACAACCTTTACAACCAAAATGACTTTTAAACATCAAGCACAACCTCAACCAAATGCCTTTTAAGAATCATGCACGACCTCTCAACCTTTTGCTTGGAGGTATAACTTTAACACTACCTTTTTAAGGAGGTATAACCTATATAATAGTGGATTCTTAAAAGAATCTTTAGCTCAAAACCTTTAATAAGGATGGTAAGGAATTTGAATACAAAAATACGAGAGCTTCTTTAAGAATGATGAAAGATGAAGTGAAGTTTAGGCTTAAGAAACTGTAGCTAAGAGATAAGTTATGATCTTGGTTTTCTACTTTTGCTCAAAGAAATTTTTTTTTGCTCTAGGCTCTCTTTCTTGTTTTCCCTATTTTCTCTATATTTCAAATATTTCAAATCATTCCAATTTTCTAATCATTTTAATAATTTCTTTTAGAGGCATTTTCATCAAGTATTTATAAACATTGAAGAATATACCTGTTGAAGCAAATTTCAAAATGAATTTCATACGTTATGGCTGGCTTGTAGATTTCTGTGGCATATGGAGAATTGATTCTTTGTTCATGAGTTGTAGGTTCTTCATAAAGTCTAGAACTTAATATTTATGTATAATTGATTGTTTCTTCTTGAGATGTCAGTTCTTCCACAATTTGGTTTAAAGGTAATACCTTTACACTTTTGTCGAATCAATTCTTCTGTTCCAAGGTGTTGGTTCTTCAATATGGTCTGGGACCAAACTTTGAATTTAAGCTTAATATTTAACACTCCATTCTTATCAAATTGTATCATCTTTTTCTTCTTTACCAAGTTTCTGATTTTTTTCCATTGGTGCTTCAAGAACTGATATCTTTTTCCTCAAAAATTGATTCTTTGTCTTCAGATTTGTGATCTTTAATTCCTTCTTGTTATGAACTAGTGATTGCTTCATGGAGAATTGATTCGTTCATGCTCGGATTCTTTTCTATTCCTGAAGCTTTTACTTTCTAAGAATTGACTTTTTTTTTCTCAAAATCAATTGTTATTGTAATAGGAGAATAAATTTTGCTTTTCAATCATTTAAGAATTGATTCTTAATATTCAAAAGGCTTATTTTTTAACATTGGCACTTGAGTTCAAGTTTTCTTAAAAACATTTTCCTTTTGCAAGCTAAAATTAAAAACTTTTGAGGATTTTCTTCAATTTTAAAAATAATTTATAATCATTTCCAAGCATATTTAGATCAATCAATTTTTTCATTTCATTTTCAAAGCATATTTTGATTAATCAAGTTGAAGAACATTTTTCTTTTATTCTCAAAGTAGATTTAGATCAATCAATTTTTTCATTTCAAGACCAAAGTAAAGCTAACAATCCTCAATGCAGGTCTCGATACTTTAAATGTTAGATTCAACTAAGGTCTTGATACCTCTGTTGCATGTCTTGATACTTGGTTCATCCTTGGCATTCTAACTAAATCATGTTTCAATACATTATAGCTTGGTCTCTATACTTTGCAGCTTGCTTTTTGGAAATCAAGGTCTAGAGATGATGTCTCCATACTTGGCAAGCATGTCGTGATATTTTGACATTTGCTTTCTGGAATTTGAAGTTCTGAAGACGAGGTCTTAATATTTTGATTGTAAGTCTTGATACTTTGACAAGCTTTTTAGAAGTTGGACTCCAGAGATGAAGTCTCCATACCTTGAAGTTTAGGTCTCAATACTTTCAAACTTGCTTTTTGAAATTTAGGACTTTTGAGGCGATGTCTCAATAATTTCAAAAGTCCTAAATTGGGGTTTCAAAGCTAATGTCTCAATCCCTACCAAAAATGTCTTAATACTTTTTTTTCCTTAAGCTATTTTTGAGGCATTCTGAGCTTGAGGTCTCGATACTTATCCAAAATGTCTTATAAATGCTTAAGGGATTTTGTGATATTTCAATGTACTTAAACACTTATATTGTGGTCATTTGATTTTGACATTTCAAAACAAAGATCAATTGTAAAGCTAACAATATTCAAAGTCGACTCATCAGGTGGCTTTTGAGAACTATGACATAATTGTGAATATAAGTTGCAACATGAAAAAAGGAAGGTTGAAGTATCCTCATTGAGGGATTTGAAGTACTTAATGTGATGTAATCAAATAAATTAGGGGCATACAAGACACTATCTTTTTTAAAAGGGCTGGCATTTCTATACTCACTCTAATAAGTTCCTAGTATAGAGCTCCTAAATTCAAATGTACTCAAAAGTCGCACAATCGCACAATCTATTAATCAATATGAACTAGGCAATGAGACGGTTTAGGAGAATAGTCGGATGAGTTCACCTTCATGTGTGAATGAGAGATGTTGGACTTGACAGGATACTACCCATGATGATCATTATATTTGGATAGAACTATGCTTTACCATTTTATTTTTGTAAATTAAGAATAATTATAAAATAATTGTCTAGTGCTTTAATGTTACTAGACTACCCGATAAAAGGACTTGAGGTTTTTTACCAAAAAAACACAATACAGCTAGCCAAAAAATTAAGGTGAAAACTAAACTCTCTCTCTTCTCTGAGAACCACCACTCTCCTCAATTATTAGGTCAAGATTCTTGTACTGTGAAAAGTGTGATTTTTACTCAATTTCATAGTAGTTACTCATCACAAGTTTTATAGAAATAAAGAGGCTCATAACACGTCTAGAATCAAGATTCTAGACTCACTCTGCATTAGTCTTTAAATGGTAAAAAACTAATATAAGTCTGATCAGAATAAACTTATTTGACTTTTGTTTTAATTCGTATATGTTTTCCTGCAAGAGTTGTAAAAAATAGAGCAAACCAATTTTCTTAAGCTTTATCCCTTTTTAATCTTAATGAAATATCCGCTTATAATATTGGCTGTCAAAACGACGATATGAAATCTGTACGCCTTGTTGCGTAATTGCCTTCTAAATTTACCCCCTAGAGGTGGTTTGCTTCCTATAGATTACACAAACATACGAATTTAAGACAATCAGTAAAAATCATTGAGTGATAATTTTTGTTTCTGTCTTGGTTTTATACGTAGACAAGCATACAAACAGAACAAGGAAGTTTATCAGAACAGGCAATGGTAGACAAAGACCCAGAAAGCAACGTGAAAAAGTATTATAGGAAAAATCTAAAATGGGGTTCCTTCATTTCAACGGAGACGAAGAATCTTAGGTTTTTGATCCCTTTTTAGGATTTAACATTTTAAGGTTTTGATGTTCAAATTTAACAGAAACATTGCCATTTGAGTATTTCTTTGGCTTGAAAAGAATGACTTCTTCATACCAAAAGCAGACATCGTCTTCGTCATTGTCATCAACCGATTTCATTGCTAGTAATGATGACGTTATCACGGAGATTCTACTTCGTTTGCCAGCAAAATCCGTTCTAAAATTCAAATTAGTATCCAGAAGATGGCTCTATCTTATCTCAGATCCCAATTTCGTGGTTCGCCATCGTCGCAAGAATGCTAAAACTGTCTCTGGTTTTATCCTAGCTTGTGTCCTATTTTTCAAAATGCCACCGAACTACCTGTATGTTGCCTTGGATGTAAACGAAAACTCTACCCCGGGCCGAGCAGTTGGCCTTTCTTTTGACCCTTATGCCCGGGGTTCTGTCATGATTTCACAGTCTTGCAATGGCTTTCTTCTATGTGACAGACAAAGGCACGGGTCACCTGCTCCTTACATGGATTACATCTTCAACCCAGCCGCCAACAGATTCTCCATTCTTCCTGAACCGGTTTGGCATAAAACCTCTATTAATTTCTTTAGTCTAGCATATGACCCAACCATATCACCTTTCTATGTGATTGTTTGCATTCAGTTCTATAAATCAAGTTGCAAAGTTCAGATATATTCCTCTGAAACAGAAACTTGGAGGAATGCTAGGAATCAAGATTGTTCATTGGATTAGCATTCATGGTGGGAATTCTCGTCGCTTGGACATTAAGCAGGAAACACTGCAAGCAATGCCCAGGCCTCCACTTCCTGAGGATTGGAATTCTATTAACTTCAGGCATTTCGTTGAATCTCAAGGGCATTTATTCTTCATCGATTTTGACAGCCCTGAATACATCATATATGAAATGGAGAAAGACTGTTCAAACTGGTTTGTGAAGGATCGCCTAGATATAAACTTGATAGTCAGTGCATTTCCAGACATGACCGAAGACACAGAAGATTCTCCGAATTCACTGCTAGAATTGGACTACTGCATCCCTCTGGTGTCACGAGTTGACATTAAAAACGAAGGGCCATCGTTGGTGATGTACATACCTGGTAAGTTTATATCTTATGGATTCAAGGATAATACTTTTAAGACTCTTCGTCATCCCATGTTTCGTGATTCTATGCGTTTCCGGTGGTATCATACTTTTAACTACATGGAAACACTGTCCTATGTTTGATTGCGGCATTTCTAACCCAGAGTCCTTTTCGAATGTAACCTGTAAGTAGTTTTATGGTCTTTTCAATGGTTGAACATCAAAACTTAGAATGGTGCAATATTTATGGACATGGAATTAGGAATATTTTAAGTTCCATGACATTAATGCAAACTTTATAGGTTCTTTGTGTTTAGTTTGCTGTATTACTCAATCCAAACTTTGTTTAAATTTTGTGTGGTCCGGAGTTATTTAGTCATATTTTTTTAATGGGTAGCTTGCGAGATGAGCCTAGAATAGTTCTTCAAAATTTGATTTTCTGTTTTAATCCAAATTTGGACAGCATGTGTTTAATTCACTAAAACATATTTTAAAAGGTTTAAAATCATGTTTAAGTGAAGAATTACTGAATGGATTAAAAGGCTTGCAAAGTCAAGTTAAAACTAAATAGTTTTGAGGTGTTTTGGAGACTAATGTGTTGATTATTTTTGTTAACGTTGGGCAAGCATTATGAGCAGTTTTTAATTATTAAAAATTAATTATATTGAATTAAATTACTACATGTTTCAGCTAGTCTTGATTTAGAGTGAAAAAGAATAATAAAATAATATTTTCAGATTCCAAAACAACAAAGATTCGGTGCAAAAATTTTGGACAACTATGATCGGTTTTGGCGGCTTAATTCTCATGAATTTTGTGTTTTATTGTTAAACATACTTGTTAAAAATTTTGAGCAGCTATTTCATGAGTTTAACTCATGATTTGTGGAGTTTTAAGAGCACTTAAATGCCATCTATTTTAATTTTAAGTGATTAATAGAAAATAGAAAATTATTTCCTACTTTAAAAGAAATTCCTAAAATTAAGGATAGCATTTTAATTTGAGAAATTCATAGGAAATAATTTCCTACTTTAAAAGAAATCCTTAAAATTATGTGATAGCATTGAACTTTCCTTGGAATTTTGGTTTGACTAGAAGTTTTCAAAATTTGATAAGTCACCATTTAGGTAACTTGAATAAGATACAATTTAGAAAACCAGTTCATGTTTTAAATGTTAGAAATTAAAATATTAGCTTAGATATATTTTAAGAAGTTTACCTAAAATAAAGAGGTTTTCAAAATTAAAAGCAATTTTAATTATGGAAAGAATTAAAATGGAAAGTTTTATCTGAATGAATTTCTATTTAAGCAAAAGTAGTAAAATGTTTACTTTAACTATTTGGAAAATGGGAATTTCTTAAACAATACCTAATTATTTGAATCAAGCACCTTAAGTAAGTTAATTGATGTTTTTCTCAAATAACACACAATATCACTACGTGCAATTGGGCTTGCATTTATTTTTATACTTTTGATTGTGATTATAAAGCATGAGGATGATTATGGACTTAGACCTTAGAAGATTAGGTCATCGATGGTTAAATATATTTCTCATGGCATTTATTTTAAAATAAAGTCCGTGCACCTTACCTTATCTCTATTTTCTCTAGATTGTAAAATTCTTTTCTCACCTAACTCCCATCGAATGTAACTCAAGGTTTCTTGATTATAGAATGCAGTTAATTACATCAAAGTCTAAAACTAGGGTTAGAAAAATTTTTGTAATTTGAAAATGGAGATTCGAAGGTGCCATAGAGATTTATGGAGATTATAAGCAAAGCTTGAAGACATGTTTGTAAAATCTGCTATGAATTTGACCAACTAATTTCCTTAACGGCTCAAGGAAATTAGAATTAGTAAAGTCCATAATCATCCTAGCAGTTGGCATGGGATAGATTTATTTTTTAGTATATATATATATATGATATATGCCAAATGCGATAAATGCTATGCATGCCAACAACGTTAAATCAATGAGACCTTAATTAATGAAATAACAAATAAAAATCTCTCATCAATATATTAAGTGAAAGAGTTAACTTCCATCATATAACAAGATAACCATGCTGCTTTTTTAATTAAAGGATTGTTGAGTAACTCCAAGTCAAACTTTTATACTAGTGTTTTTGAGTTATTGGTGGGTCTTACTCAACTAGTACCATTTTGTTCGAATGTGTCACACATGACCGAATAGTATTTAAGGCATAGTTAGGTAGAATGTATATGATACATTTAGACAAAGAGTTGTCATCTAACTGATCTAGGAGTTGTATAAGGTACAATTGCTAAGCTAAGTTATCTACTTAATTAGTTTCATTATGACTTGTTGAGTAACTTAAGGTCATGATAGGATGAAAAGGGTCCTAGCTTAATAAGAAGTTTAAAGGTTAAATTTCTCAAAATATTAGAGGATGGCTATTACTTTGATAACATATTGAAAATAATCATATAAAATTTTATAACCTTGTCTTTATGATTACATAATTTGTGTTAATGACTAAGCTTTATATATGTAGATTTATATAGGATATAAATCGATCATGGAGAATAGTTTGTCACTACGAAGCATACTTGATGCAAAGTAGTTGATAAGCCCAAATTTCATTGATTGGTTTTGCAATATCAAGGTTATCTTGAAACAAGAGAGAAAGGCTTATGTCCTAGATAGGCTTGTTATCGAAGAATCTAGCAATGATGCTACAAATGAGGAAAAAGAGGTTTATAGAGTTTATATGGATGATCTCGATCTAGCCATAAGTGTGATGTTGGCTAGTATAGCTCCAAATATTCAAAAGTAACATGAAGCTATGAATGCCCTAGATATTATCTTAAACCTTAAAAAATTGTTCGATAAGAAAAGTCACACAAAGAGATTCGACATTTCAATGGAATTGTTTCAATGTAAGATGTATGAAGAAAACCTAGTAAGACCTCATGTGCTTAAAATGATAGGATATATCATTCGACTTAAGCAGTTGGGTTGGGTTATGGATCATGATTTGAGCATAGACCTTGTACTCTCTTCGCTGCCAAAGAACTAGTCATAGTTTATGTTGAATTTCAATATGAATAAGATTAAGGTAACCTTATTAGGCTTATTGAATGTGCTCACATAAGCTGAGAATACCCTTGTGAAAAAGAAGCCTACAGTTCATCTTGTTTCTTCTAAGAAAAGAAAAATTTCTAATAAAGATGAGGGTGAAAAGGCATCAACTTTGAAAGGTATGAAACCTATTGGAGGAGTGAAAAACAACAAAGACAATGACAAATGCCATTTCTATGACAAACTAGGGCATTAAATGTGAAATTACAAGGATTATCTTGAATCCATCAAACAAAAGAAACAAAAGGATGCTTCCACTTTAAGTATGAATCATGTGTTGATTTATTTTTCATTGCTTGGTATATGATACCTTACTCTTTATTAATGGTTTTAATATGTATGCTGTATTGAAGGAACTAATAACAAGGAACAGTGAAGAATAGGATCATGAAAGGGACAACCTTAATCGATGGCAATCAAGCTTGTTAACCATGATTAGATTGTGGAACAATAAATAATTTTGGAACATTGAATGTTTTCATGACATGATTGCCAAGATGAGATGTTTTGGTTTTGGGCCTATGGCTAAATATTTTATTTTATGTTTAGAAAACATAGATTTATATTTTGCTAGCATGAGATGTTTAGCTTATATATATTTATATATTTATTTTACATTTCATTTTATTTTGGAATTATTCTAAATTATTTATCCTTAAGTATAACCTTAGGTATATGATAATCAATAGTAAGTCATAATGATAAGATTATTGTGAGATTATTTTTCTTTTGATTATGAATTAGAAAGGGAATTAATGAGATGACTTAGATAAAATTGAATCCTAGCTCAATGAATTCATAATAGGATTATGAACACATTTATTTAAGGAGCATTCTTATTGAGATAAAATATCTAAATTAAAACTGCTTAGAACTAACTAATGATTGATTATCATATTGAATTCATAAAAGATGAATCACAAAGCATTCCAAACCCAGTTAATCACATGAACTAACCTTTGAGAGGATTTCATTTTATAACCAATGATGAACGACTTATGATAGGTAAGTATACATAAAAGTTATGGATATAATGCATAAAAGAAAGTAAATTAGTTTACTTAGTAAGATTTCTATACATGATAAAAATAGTGGGAGCTAATGAAACTTTAAAGGTCAAGGGTCATAAAATTATGAAATTCAATAGATAAGATCTATGCACAAAGATTGAGTTAATGGGATGCATAAAGATGTATAATTCATCCATTAAATATGAACCACTAGTAGGATGTATATTGATGCACTACTCATATAAGATGAGTCTACTAAATGATCTAACATGAATGATTGGATAATAATCTCTGTTCAATGGAATAAATTCAAAGTAGTTGAATACATTGAATAAGATAAACATAACTTGTACACATCATAAGGTTAGTGGGAGTAAGATAAGTTACTCACTAAAAGTGTATAAGATACATTTTCCAATTTAAGAAAAAATTGAAATAAGACTAAATACTTAGAGCCTAAATAGGGACTCAACAAAAGAATTTAGGATAACATGTTAAAGGAGTTTAACATAGAGAAAATCCTAAATGCTAAAGTGACAAAAGTCATGATTGGGCAGTTGTATTGGAATGGTTCCAAAACAAAGGCTAATTGCATGATTATATCTATAATCGGATCCGATATAAACCTTTTGTTTAGGCTACAAAAAGAGAGATATTTGGATCATTGGTTTAATGAACCAATAAATGATTCTTAGTTGTTAAAGTAATAACAAAAGCCATAATAGTGGAATCAAAGTCTCGATGTGATCTAACTTAGTATTTTGATTATGACAATGGAGATTGTCAAACATATAAATTAACATATTCTCAAGTATTGCAATTTGAGCTGTCCTAGTAGACACACAATTGCTAAGCGAAAAAGTTTGATATTCGATATGTTAGTAATTGACTAAAGTGCAAATGGGAGACTATTGGTATATGCCCTTGGGCCAATTGGATTGGTTAAGGAATACAAATATTGTTATTTAATGCATACTTAATCACAAAACTATATGTGATAAAGGTTTTCATTCATGTTAGTGCTAATAAT